TCTCTCCTCTTCTGCTTTTTCTTCCAAGTGGTTGCAGCTACCCACTATAAATAAAACAAATGAAATAAAGGAAAGTGGTGAGGAAAATGTAATGTTACATAGCCAGGTGTGCATTCTCGTGAAAAATGGGCTCCAGACAGTTCTTTCTATGTTAATGAGGCCAAGTGCCCACACCAGGCTCAGACTCTTTAGGTAGCTTGTTAACTGCCACAGACCACAACGTGGAGTGATGGCACTTGGTGGAGCCTGCAGAACTGGCACACCCAGTATGGTCTTAGCAAAAGCTGTACATACCCGCCTGAGAACTTTTGCAGGACATGCTAGGGGAGTTTTAGGTTGGATCTTAGGAAGAACTCCTTTACCGAAAGGGTGGTTAGACATTGGAACAGGCTGCCCAGGGAAGTGGTGGAGTCCCCATCCCTGGAGGGATGAGGTCCCATCCCTGGGACCCTTCCAATTAGGTGGTAAATTCTTCATCCCTGGAGGGATGAGGTCCCATCCCTGGGACACCTTCCAATTAGGTGGTAAATTCTTCCTTGCCCTCCCATCGCCACATAGCCACCAATACCCTATACCTAATTTGCAACCCACTTTCCGAAGATCCATCCACTCCAGACTCCTTATCAGGGTCGTATGCTACTTGGATAGTAATATTACAAGATGACCTTAAATTGGCTAGATTATATCCCCCTACATTTTCCGTTTTTGAACAGTCAGGTTCCCGACCAAAACTAAGCCCCAGATTACGCAAGATCTTTTGTTCGCTGCTATCATTGTCCCCCGTACACCGACTTTTAACATTTCCCCATGCTTGTAAAGCAAATTTCGGTCCCTCAGGGAGGGTATAGTCTACCCTTTCCATTCCCCAACATTTAGTGGACCACATCTGATTATTATATAATGCACTAGTCCAACTTCCGGAGGGTATCCCGTATAGTGGGATTTCCATATTGCCCCTCGGAAGTGCAGTGCATATCCAACAGTCTGATAAATTTAAAGACCGGGCCACTCTTTCGGTTACGTTTACATACGAGTTTCCTTCCATGCTTGAGCTGATACAATAGTTACAAGCAATGTCCAAAGTCTACGCATGTTGCCTTTTCAATTTACACTTACTTGGTCCCGTCATTTCAAGTGTCCATGGACCTTGTGTTGACTTGTTGATTCTCGTGTGGTGAATCCAAGCAGGTTGTTCTTTAATTTTTACTGCAGTGTATGACGTAAGCAGCACCTGAAAGGGTCCTTCCCATTGGGGTTCCCAAGAGTTTTTTCTGTAAGAGATTTTACATATATACAATCTCCAGGTTGTACATTGTGTATAGGTCTATCCAAAACCCCTACTCCGGGTTCCAGCTACATGTTTTCCAATTTTATCTAACTGTTTCCCTAATGCCACCATGTAGGATGTCATAATTTCGTCTCCTGCTTGTGCGGGACATCCCCTTCTGCCCCTTCTGCACTCCATAGGGTCCGTCCATACAGGTTTTCAAAAGGGCTCAGTCCCTCCTTGCTCTTGGCTTGTTCGTATGCGTAAGAGAGCCAAAGGAAAGAGAGTGAGGCCAGCCCAGATTAGCCTCCTGTCCCAATTTTACAATCTGTTGTTTGATCAAGTGGTTCATCTTTCTACCCTGGCCACTTGACTGAGGGCGATATGGGGTATGAAGTTGCCAATCTATACCTAGATGGCGGCTGATTTGTTGCACTATTCTTGAAATAAAATGTGGTCCCGTGTCAGAGGATATAGTAGCTGGTACTCCAAAACGTGGTATTATTTCCTGCATTAGTATTCTTACCACTTCCCTAGCCTTGGCTGTTCTGGTAGGAAACGCCTCTGGCCAACCTGAAAACGTGTCAGTTAATACCAACATGTATCGATACCCCCCTTTTTCTTGGGAGTTCCGAAAAATCAATCTGCCATTGGCTGTCCAGGCCCATTCCCTTTTCCAATTTGGCCTATCTCTAATTTTGGAGTACTTTGGGGATTAGTCTGGAGGCAAAGGTCACACTGCTGAGTCACTTGTCTCACAGTGGTGTATAGATTCCTTGCTACAATTTTTCTGATCAAATGCTTATATAAGGCTTCAGCCCCCCAGTGCCTTTCTATGTTCCTCTCTTACCAAGGGCCATATCATATAAGAGGGAATAATCATTTTCCCTTGGGGGGTAAGAGCCCACCCCTCCTCCTTATAGGAACCTTCTAGATCAGTAATTAATTTCTGATCTTCTTTGTATATTTGGGCTTACCTTCTAGGGAGATTTGCCCATCAGGGATCAGGGCCCCTTCTGTTTTCACCTCCCTTTTGGCTGCATGTTTTTGCCACTCTGTCCGCCAGCTCATTTCCTTTTTCCAATTCTGAGTTTGCTTTTTGGTGTGCTCTAATGTGCATGACTGCCACTTTCTCAGGGAGTTGAACTGCTTCCAACAACTTCAGGATTTCTTTTGCATGCTTGATATTTTTGCCGTGCGAATCCATAATCCCCTCTCCTTCCAGATCACTCCGTGTGCATGTACAACCAAAAAGGCATATACAAGGGCTGACATCCCTTCCATCACCTACCTGTGCTCTTGCTCTCCCATGCAGGTTGCTGCCGAGCAGGGAGGCCAAGCAGTCTTCCTGCACCAAAGATACACCAGCAGACAAGCCAGCAACGTGCCAGAAACAAGAGCCGTCCCAGGACTTCTGGATGGGCCTGTTCAGAGCAGCGAGCAGGAGCAAGGGCTCGGTACGCGCAGGGGGCTGGCTGGTCCTGGGCCACCCCTCCCCTTGGGTGGTGTGTGGGGGGAAGGCAGGGGCTTGCCCATCACCTGCTCAGGCCCTAACCTACACCTCTCTGTCTCCCACAGGCATCCATGACCTCACACAAGCCCCGGCACACCAGCCACCGGCCCGCCCACATCAGGAGACAGGCGCTTCGGGCTCTGCGCAGTGGCTTTGTGCTGCAGCTTCATCGCAGAAGAGTGGGGTAAGCAGCGCCCAGCTGCCAGCACAGGAGGGCGCTCGGAGCTGTACGCTGACATCACTGAAAGGAACAGGACAGTGCCCCAGGAATTCAGATGCCCCACCACATCCTGCCCCCAGCCTCAGCTCATCTGCAGCTGCCTTCTGCTGACAGCCGTGCTGGGGACAGCCCAAGGCCTCAGCCAGCTTGTGGCGCGGGGGGGCAGGCAGAACTGCCAAATGGCCGCCAGGGCTGTCAGAGGGCGGGGCTGGAGCCGCCCTGTCAGGGAGCAGCTTTTCTCTCTCTCTCCCTGCACTCAGGGAGCACTTTCCTGTAGATCCCCTTTCCTGTAGGGCCACAGCTGAGCCGAGCATGCCAGCACTGAGAAGGAAACTCTCTCCTTTCAGTCCCATACAATCCTCGAGAGTGCCCCAGGGGGTGTGCAAGGTGATCCATTTGGGTGTGGGAAGGAAATGCTAGAACTGCCATTCGTTTATTCATGAAATCTCGAAAGGGAATAAGGAAGAAGGAATGCTTCACGAGTGTTTAATATAGAGCTTGTGCCTGGCACCCTCCCTCAGTGTCTCCATGTGTCAGATGGCCACGTTGCACATGGTCTGTGAGGTGTCCTGAGGGACGAGCGTGTGCTCCACAACACGGAGGTTTTCTCCGTGGCACCCTCACTCGGTCACAAGCTTTCAGCATTATGTGACGTAGCAGATTACATGGGCCGGGTTCAGTAGACTTCAGGATGATGTGCTTAAAGGGATTTGAGGAAATCAGTTCAAAGGATGCCTATAGATTGGGATCTCTAAGGCCAAAGGCAGCAATTCAGCAAGAGGTATTCCACCAAGTGGAATTGACAGCAACTTGCATCGAGGCTGCCTGATGAGGATCAAAGTCCCCGAAGTTTTAGGAGGAGAGAATGAAAAACTGTGAGAGCATGTGAGAGAAAGAGAGCTCTTCACTCTCTTGTATGAGTGATGTGACAAAAAAAAATCAACTTGTCCTTCAGTTTTGTGCTGTGCAGATTTAAAGTCCCTGCTGGCTTTCCTTCTTCTTTTCTCCCAGGTTTCAAACTCTCTCTCTCTCTCTGCTTTTTGGCCATGTGCAGACCCGAGAGGTCATGGAAAAGCTGTTTTCCAAAAAGAGGCTCTTAACTTCAAAGCTCCCTTGGCAGCAGTACCAGCAGGGAAGGAAGACTTGTTGCTAATTCTGGGCTGAGTGAGGAGTGAGGGCAGGTGCTTGATGCCTTTTTTTTTTATTTCCTGGGACCAAAGGGAAGGTTGCAGTGAGCCGTTACCTTGGAAGTTCCACCCTGGAAGGATCAAGAGCTCCCAGCTCTTCCCAGCTCTCCAGGCACAGGCAGGATCTGATGCTGGATCCTAAGAGCACCTGTCTTTCAGCAAGGGAGAATCAGCAGCCTCAGCTAGGAGGCCTTCGTGGCTGTCTTGGCAGGCCACGAATGGTGCTACTTGAACTGCTTAACAGTCCCACAAAAATTGTGAGGTGGATTATTGAGGGAACAGAGCATCTCTCCTATGAAGAGAGGCTGGGAGAGATGGGACTGTTTAGCCTGGAGAAGAGAAAGCTCAGGGGGGGATCAGTGGATAACTGCATGCCTGCGGGCAGGGTGCAAAGGCAATGGAGCCAGGCTCATTTCAGTGGAGCCCAATGACAGGACAGGAGGCGATGGGCGCAGAAGCAAACACAGTGGCTTCCATCTGAACCTCAGGATCCATTTCTGTAGTGTGTGGGTGAGCGAGTCCTCTCACGGGTTCTCCAGTGAGGCTGTAGAGTCTCCCTCCTCAAGGGGAGACACTTGAAAGCCATCTCCACAGGACATGCTCCTTGGACACTGGTGCTGGGTAGCAATGTTTGAGCAGGGGGTTGGCCAAGCTGACCTCTTCAGGTACCTTCCAACCTCAACCATTCTGTGTTTCTGTGAAATCAGAACACTACAAGCCCGTCTGGTCCTTCCAGCAGGAAGCAAAAGACTTTATTGGGCTCGCAGCTGCTCCCAGCTGCGAGGGGTCCTCGCTGGTTTCCTGATGCTCGTGTCATCTTTGGCATTGGAAGCACAGGGATTTCTCACCAACGCTAGGGAGAGAAAAGAAAGGGTTCAAGTTTCTGTTCCAGTGAGGGCAGCGGAGTGACACTCCCTGCTCCCTTCAGCCCCAGTCCTGTGCAGCGTGCATATGCAGGAGTCCCAAGGCTCTGTGTGGCCTTGTGGGGGCCCCTCGAGTCCCAGCCAGTGACAGGGAATCTACGCAGCGCCAGGCCGAGGCGCTGTGTGAGACCGGGCTGGAGACCTTTGGCCAAGCAGCTACGGAAGGCCAGGGCAAGGGTTCTCGTGAGCCTGGGGGCCTCATTGCCCAAGGAAGGGGCTGTTGCTAGTGGAATGAAGGCTGTTGCAGGAGAGGTTTACCAATCAGAAGATCCTCTGCAGAATTTCCAGGGATGTCGACAGCTCTGCTCTTGGTCTTGTCTTTCTGCAGGACCTCCCCTCTCCTCCCAGCTGTTTCCTCACGCGCTCAGTCCGCACTGAAAGGCAGCTGCAGCAACAGAGAAAAAAACTCTCAGGTGGGCTCTGAAGGTCCTCACCTCTGTCTGCCCAAAAGCAGGGAGCACAGCCTCCTTCCATTGTGGGTGCGTCACTGTCAGCTGCAGGGGAGCTTTAGGACTTTGGGTCTGCAGGGGGACAGCTGGAGGCAGGGCCTCTCCACGGTCATTCTCTCCGCGAGGCAGCCAGGGGATGGAGAGCCAAAGCCCAGAGCTGAGCAACCCGCATGCTGGATCCCTCGGGCAGCCTGCTGCAGCTCAGCTTTTCCTGGCCTTTTTTGGAAGCTGGCCCACACTTACCTGGCACTCGGTTTGCTCAGAGGAGCTGCCTCAGCCTTCTTCTCCGGCGGGTGAGGGATTAGGACATGCTGCTGTTTCATGTCCACTGGCACCATCTGCAGAGACTTTTTCCATTCCACAAGTGCCATGGAGGATGTGCTCTCTGTCTGCAGCCCCTGCATTTCCTTCTGCGTCTTCTGCTACAGGGGAAGCAGAAACAAGGAACGTTTTTAGATGGGGGTGCTAACGTGGGAGCTGTCCCATGGCAGTGGGGCAGTCGTCCCCTCAGGGTTTCCGCAGGCTCAGGGCAGTTTCCCTGCAGCCTGCTTTCTCTCAGAAAGGCAGCATGAAAGGGTAACACCCTCAGCCTCTGAAACTAAGGGCAAGAACACTTTCACTGCAGTGGGCTTTGCAGGAGCCCTTGTCCTTCTCAGAGGAAAACAAGGCTCAGAAAGTGCACGTTTTTCTCTTGGAGAGAAGCTTCCTTGCAGAGCTAAGAGGGGAAGAGTGTGCACATGGCCCCCTGAGAGAAGAGAAAGGTTCCTTCTCGAGTGCTTGAAAGCACTTGTCATACCATGGGCCCGTGTCTCAAGCAGCATTTTTCCTACAGGGCACAAGGGCATGCAGTTATTAAAGAAATGTCAAATCTCCATGATGGCAACCCGTGAAACAACCCGGCAATGGGCACACAGATGCAGTGGCTACCTGTCCTCCTCTCCGTTGACCCTCACAGGCAGGGGCTTGAGTTTGGGGCCAGGCCACAGCACAGAGCTTGCCCTTCCCCTCTTCTGCCATTCTTGAGGAGCTTTCCTCACGGGTTGTCAGCAGCCTGCAAGCACAGAAGAGGAGGATTTCCTGCTCTAGTTTTTGCTCACCAATCAGGTCCCCAGCAGGGAAAGGGAAGTTGGTGGGCATGTGTCGGGACCCCTGTGGAATTCACCAAGTCCCCATGTCTAAGGAAAGCCGCTTGATGACTCAAGAAAGCCGAGGGGCTGCTTCTTTTAGGCTCCCCCCAGCCTCACCTGCGAGAAGGCTCTTTTTCCACTGCAGCCTGGCTCAGCTTTGCCTCCCCTTTCATCTTGGAGAGTCTGGATAGAGAGAGACTCTGGGGTGTGAGCAGCTGGCTCTTAATAGGAGGCATCCCTGTAAGGAGGAAACGAGAAGGCTCGTCAGTGCTGCTCCTTGGCCACACAAAGAGGCAGGGAATGAGCCTCCCTGCTGGATCCGGTGCTACTTGTAAAAGGCAGAGCAAGCTGGGAGATGGGTTGGCCGAGAAGGGAGTCTCCTTGGCCACTGGCATTTCACGGGTGGGGATGGGAGTCATCTGCACAGGACATGCTCCTTGGACACTGGTGCTGGGTTGCCCAGTTTGAGCAGGGGTTTGGCCAAGCTGACGTCTTCAGGTAGCTCCCATCCTAAAACCATTCTGTGTTCTGTGAAATCGGCACACTACGAAGCCCGTGCTGGTCCCTCCAGCAGGAAGTAACAGTCTTTATTGGGCTTGCAACTGCTCAGGTGGGGATGGGAGTCCTGGGACTCCCTGCTGCCACTGTACCCCACATTCTACCTTTGGACACATCTAATCCTGTTGAATGCTATGGGAAGCGCGGGGCTGCCCTGCCATTCTGGTTCCTACGAAGGCCCAGCAGAGCTACTGCCACAGGGAACTGGGGTCAGAGGAGGGGCCTCATCCTGTGCAAAGCGCAGCCTTCCAGCCTCGCCTCTGTACCCCTTGCCCTCAGGAGGACATTCAGAAGGGAAGGGCAGAGAGGTCTCCCAGGGGCTGTCACTCCCAAGAGCCCGCTCTCACATTACCTCTTCTGGTAGACTCTCCCTCCACACTTGCGTCTCCCTTCTTCTCCAAAGCAGAACCCTTGGGTGCTTGGAGAGACCCTTCCCTGCAGCTCTTCCCCGAGGTATGTAGAGCCCAATCCTGGAAGAAAGACCAAGGCAGTGTGACTACAGGGCACCACATTCTAGGGCTGTAGGGTGCTGGTCTTGGTGCCAGCATCTGAGAGGGGCTTGCTGTGGGCTGGGCAGGGAATAGACATCCTCCCAGCCCTTGGTACACAAAGAGAATGCCCCCAAAACAAGCAAGAATCGGTGTGGAGTGGAGGAGGAACCAGTGCTTGGAAAAGTCCCCTCCAGCTCCTCCCTGAGCACTGGGCAAGCCCTGGCACTGCTGACCTTCCGGAGAGGAGCTGAAAAGCTGCCAAAACTCTCAGCCAAGGGCTGCAGAAGCAATGCACCCACCTGGGAAAGATGATGACACCTCGAGAAGCTGGATGTGAGACCATGCTTTTTCTCTCCGATGTGGCCAACTCCGTTGTGCTTAAACTCTGCAGGAGAGACAGTCGTGGGTGAGACCATGGACAGGAAGGGATGCCCGTGCCAATGAAGGCATCGCGGCTGCTCAGGCAGAAAGCTGCCCACGGGCAGAGCTTGCAGGGCTTAGTGTTCACCCTCCTTACAAGCAGCACAAGCTGCCCAGCAAGTGCCTGCACCCGGCAAATCACTGCCTGGCTTTGTGCAGGGGCCAGACTCCTGTGCCTCATCAGGAGACGCGTCTGACCCAGAAGGAGAAGTCCCTCCCAACGGCCTCTCGGGGCATTTCCCAGGAGCCCTGGGCTGTGCTGGTGCAGTGAGAAACTTACAGTGAGGCGGCATTTCAACAGCTGGCCGTTGCTATTCAGGTTGTGAACAAAGTCGGAGGAAAAGTGCATTTGGACTCTGTTCTGGCGGAAGACCAGACGGCCGATGTCCTTGAAGATGAAATCCACAGCCTGCTTCTTTGCAAGGGTGTAGGAGAGAAAGAGCAGGGTCTCCTGAATGCAGCGCTGCACGGTGTCCCGAGGAATGCCGATGTCCAAGGACAACCAGGCATAATTCAGGAAAACAAATGGAGGTATTCCTGAGGGAGAGGAAGCAAGGAGAAAATAACTAAGACAGGCCTGCAGAGGAGGGCAGTCCCAGTTGGGTAGCTTCTGGGCCCTCCAGCACTGCTACAGAGCTGTCTTGCTGACTGCTCGTCTGCAGGAAGAGAATCCCTGAAAGACAGAGCTCCAAGAGCCTGGGGCAGCACAGTCGTGGGGCATCGCTGATGCCATAGAAGCTGATGCCCAGTGTCAGCCTGCACCTGCTGTTGTCCGAACTGCTTAGAGCAGAAGTCAACCACCAACGCAGCCATCAGGGTGCCAACAGGATGGGGAGGGACGTTTCTGGGAGCTGGTGTCTGGAGGGACGTGCAAGGCATTGATGGCCTTGGCTTGAGAGGAGCTCAGGCCTTTCTCTGGACCTCCTGGAGGAGCTGTGGAACCCTCCACTGCCCTCCCAGCAGCAGCTGAGCATGCAGCCCAAAGTCCCCGCGCGTGGGAGCCCAGACAATCATCTCTCTTCTTACCAGGAAAAGTTTCTTTCTTGTAAGGGAGCCCATGAACATTGGCAAAGTGCTCCGAAACCTGGAAGACGGGCTTCTTTGCGTCAAGGAGTTTAACGCCTGCCATGGGCCGGTCCTGTTTAACAGCAAAGAAGGTGCCCAGCCCAGGTACTGTGACACCCTGAAAAGCAAGAAATCAGGAACACGGGTCAGTATTTCTGGGGCTTCTCCAAGCAAGAAGATGGGCCCTCATGCCTTGGCCACTGCTCATGAGAAGTTGCCAGGCAGTGTCACTCTGCAGAGCCCTGGAGATGGCCTCAATGTCATGGATTTTCCCAACAAGCAGGGAAAGCCTTGAGTGCCAGCACCAGCGACATGCTGGCCTGCCCACTCTGGCCACGGGCAACACACAAGCACCAGGCAGAATGGACCCCGTCCTTCTGCTGGAGCTGGGCTCTTCTTTTGTGCATATTGCCAGAGCAGCAAGGGGCCCCTGACACCTCTGCAGTTTGCAGGCCACCGCTGGGGTGTTTCTGATGCTTGAGGAGGCGGGCTGTGGGAAAGAGCAGAGTAAGAGGGCAGGATGAGGCTGCCAAGCTCACCTTGTTCAGCGCAAACTGCCTGCGGATGAAGTGGGATACTGCATCCCAAACTTTCACAATCTCTGAAAAGCAAGGGCAAGAGACGTCATACTGCAAGCCAGCTTTCTCGTCCAGCACAGTCCTCGTGGCCAATGGGGCCAGTGTCTATGTCCCCAGACCCTCCCTCTCTCTCCCCACAAGAAACTGCAGCTCAAGTGGGCTGCGCTGCTGCCTGTTCCTCAGGCACCTCCTGTTGGGCTCACCATCGTCCTGGAGGTGCATGAGTGTTGGACACATGAGGCGGCCGTTGCACAGGATGGGAGCACTCCTGGCCTCCATCTCGCTCCGGGCCTCCTCCACTCGTCAGCAGGAATTGTCCCACGCGGGGACGCTGCTTCCCAGTGCCTTTGGCTGCTTTCTGCAAGGCAGCTCCTCAAGATCACAGCGGCAGCCCAGCAGAGCAGCACCAGCCACTGCCTCCTGAAGGCCTCGCAGCCAAGTGAGGGCAGGTCGCGGCGCACAGGGCTTTTGAGCAGGACGTGGTGTGATGTCACAGACGGCCCCGCTGTTGCCTCATCGCGTGTCACAACAGGGGCTGCAGCCTGCCCTGTCAGGGAGCTGCCTCCCCAAGGAGACTGCTGCACCCTGGAGATTCGGGCAGAGCAGTCCGCAGGCTGTGAGGGTCACTGCAGGGTGCTGGCCCCAGGCCTTGCCCCAGGAGCAGGAAAGGAGGCTGCAACTTCTCTTAGCACTGTCCAGGACTTTTCCTTGGGCTGAACCTTCCCACGTCATCCAGCTATAGGTGCAGGGAGCACCGTCCCCTTCCACTTTCTGTGCGTGACCCTCAGCTCTGGTGATTTTTTAGCCAGCAGGGTGACCACTGGAGTTAGAGCCTCTTCGTTTTCATTCCTTCTCTGAAGCAGCCAGTGGGTGGATGGCCAAAGACTGCACTAGAGTGTTGGGGAATACTGTGACTCCAAATGTGTAATAACGCAAGTGCATTTTAAAAGAGGTCAGTCAGAAGTCTGATCACACTGCAAACATTTGGGCAGCATTTCTCTCTCCTCTTCTGCTTTTTCTTCCAAGTGGTTGCAGCTACCCACTATAAATAAAACAAATGAAATAAAGGAAAGTGGTGAGGAAAATGTAATGTTACATAGCCAGGTGTGCATTCTCGTGAAAAATGGGCTCCAGACAGTTCTTTCTATGTTAATGAGGCCAAGTGCCCACACCAGGCTCAGACTCTTTAGGTAGCTTGTTAACTGCCACAGACCACAACGTGGAGTGATGGCACTTGGTGGAGCCTGCAGAACTGGCACACCCAGTATGGTCTTAGCAAAAGCTGTACATACCCGCCTGAGAACTTTTGCAGGACATGCTAGGGGAGTTTTAGGTTGGATCTTAGGAAGAACTCCTTTACCGAAAGGGTTGTTAGACATTGGAACAGGCTGCCCAGGGAAGTGGTGGAGTCCCCATCCCTGGAGGGATGAGGTCCCATCCCTGGGACCCTTCCAATTAGGTGGTAAATTCTTCATCCCTGGAGGGATGAGGTCCCATCCCTGGGACCCTTCCAATTAGGTGGTAAATTCTTCCTTGCCCTCCCATCGCCACATAGCCACCAATACCCTATACCTAATTTGCACCCACTTTCCGAAGATCCATCCACTCCAGACTCCTTATCAGGGTCGTATGCTACTTGGATAGTAATATTACAAGATGACCTTAAATTGGCTAGATTATATCCCCCTACATTTTCCGTTTTTGAACAGTCAGGTTCCCGACCAAAACTAAGCCCCAGATTACGCAAGATCTTTTGTTCGCTGCTATCATTGTCCCCCGTACACCGACTTTTAACATTTCCCCATGCTTGTAAAGCAAATTTCGGTCCCTCAGGGAGGGTATAGTCTACCCTTTCCATTCCCCAACATTTAGTGGACCACATCTGATTATTATATAATGCACTAGTCCAACTTCCGGAGGGTATCCCGTATAGTGGGATTTCCATATTGCCCCTTGGAAGTGCAGTGCATATCCAACAGTCTGATAAATTTAAAGACCGGGCCACTCTTTCGGTTACGTTTACATACGAGTTTTCCTTCCATGCTTGAGCTGATACAATAGTTACAAGCAATGTCCAAAGTCTACGCATGTTGCCTTTTCAATTTACACTTACTTGGTCCCGTCGTTTCAAGTGTCCATGGACCTTGTGTTGACTTGTTGATTCTCGTGTGGTGAATCCAAGCAGGTTGTTCTTTAATTTTTACTGCAGTGTATGACGTAAGCAGCACCTGAAAGGGTCCTTCCCATTGGGGTTCCCAAGAGTTTTTTCTGTAAGAGATTTTACATATATACAATCTCCAGGTTGTACATTGTGTATAGGTCTATCCAAACCCCTACTCCGGGTTCCAGCTACATGTTTTCCAATTTTATCTAACTGTTTCCCTAATGCCACCATGTAGGATGTCATAATTTCGTCTCCTGCTTGTGCGGACATCCCCTTCTGCCCCTTCTGCACTCCATAGGGTCGTCCATACAGGTTTTCAAAAGGGCTCAGTCCCTCCTTTGCTCTTGGCCTTGTTCGTATGCGTAAGAGAGCCAAAGGAAGAGAGTGAGGCCAGCCCAGATTAGCCTCCTGTCCCAATTTTACAATCTGTTGTTTGATCAAGTGGTTCATCTTTTCTACCTGGCCACTTGACTGAGGGCGATATGGGGTATGAAGTTGCCAATCTATACCTAGATGGCGGCTGATTTGTTGCACTATTCTTGAAATAAAATGTGGTCCCGTGTCAGAGGATATAGTAGCTGGTACTCCAAAACGTGGTATTATTTCCTGCATTAGTATTCTTACCACTTCCCTAGCCTTGGCTGTTCTGGTAGGAAACGCCTCTGGCCAACCTGAAAACGTGCCAGTTAATACCAACATGTATCGATACCCCCCTTTTCTTGGGAGTTCCGAAAAATCAATCTGCCATTGCTGTCCAGGCCCATTCCCTTTTCCAATTTGGCCTATCTCTAATTTTGGAGTACTTTGGGGATTAGTCTGGAGGCAAAGGTCACACTGCTGAGTCACTTGTCTCACAGTGGTGTATAGATTCCTTGCTACAATTTTTCTGATCAAATGCTTATATAAGGCTTCAGCCCCCCAGTGCCTTTCTATGTTCCTCTCTTACCAAGGGCCATATCATATAAGAGGGAATAATCATTTTCCCTTGGGGGGTAAGAGCCCACCCCTCCTCCTTATAGGAACCTTCTAGATCAGTAATTAATTTCTGATCTTCTTTGGTATATTTGGGCTTACCTTCTAGGGAGATTTGCCCATCAGGGATCAGGGCCCCTTCTGTTTTCACCTCCCTTTTGGCTGCATGTTTTGCCTCTCTGTCCGCCAGCTCATTTCCTTTTTCCAATTCTGAGTTTGCTTTTTGGTGTGCTCTAATGTGCATGACTGCCACTTTCTCAGGGAGTTGAACTGCTTCCAACAACTTCAGGATTTCTTTTGCATGCTTGATATTTTTGCCGTGCGAATTCCATAATCCCCTCTCCTTCCAGATCACTCCGTGTGCATGTACAACCAAAAAGGCATATACAAGGGCTGACATCCCTTCCATCACCTACCTGTGCTCTTGCTCTCCCCATGCAGGTTGCTGCCGAGCAGGGAGGCCAAGCGCAGTCTTCCTGCACCAAAGATACACCAGCAGACAAGCCAGCAACGTGCCAGAAACAAGAGCCGTCCCGGGGACTTTTGGATGGGCCTGTTCAGAGCAGCGAGCAGGAGCAAGGGCTAGGAACATGCAGGGGGACTGGCTGGTCCTGGGCCACCCCTCCCCTTGGGTGGTGGTGTGGGGGGAAGGCAGGGGCTTGCCCATCACCCGCTCAGGCCCTAACCTACACCTCTCTGTCTCCCACAGGCATCCATGACCTCACACAAGCCCCGGCACACCAGCCACGGCCCGCCCACATCAGGAGACAGGCGCTTCGGGCTCTGCGCAGTGCTTTGTGCTGCAGCTTCATCGCAGAAGAGTGGGAGTAGCAGCGCCCAGCTGCCAGCACCAGGAGGGTGCTCGGAGCTGTACGCTGACATCACTGAAAGGAACAGGACAGTGCCCCAGGAATTCAGATGCCCCACCACATCCTGCCCCCAGCCTCAGCTCATCTGCAGCTGCCTTCTGCTGACAGCCGTGCTGGGGACAGCCCAAGGCCTCAGCCAGCTTGTGGTGCGGGGGGCAGGCAGAACTGCCAAATGGCCGCCAGGGCTGTCAGAGGGTGGGTCTGGAGCCACCCTGTCAGGGAGCAGCTTTTCTCTCTCTCTCTGTGCACTCAGGGAGCACTTTCCTGTAGATCCCCTTTCCTGTAGGGCCACAGCTGAGCCGAGCATGCCAGCACTGAGAAGGAAACTCTCTCCTTTCAGTCCCATACAATCCTCGAGAGTGCCCCAGGGGGTGTGCAAGGTGATCCATTTGGGTGTGGGAAGGAAATGCCTTGTTTCTTGCTGGGTGTCTGGTTAATAAGCAACAGCTTTTGCCAGCAAATCCTCCACTTGTGTGCTTGCAGATTGCAAAATAGTGTGTTAGTGATTGCCTTCTGCTCTTGGCAGCTGGCACAGCTGCAGGTGTTGGGCAACCGCAGGGCATCAGATGCTGTGGCATCAGTGACACACCATGATTGTGCTGCACCAGCCTCTTGGAGCTCTGCCTTTTAGGCATTTCCTTCTTTCCACAGGAGCCATCAGCCAGCCAGCTCTTTCACAGTGCTGGTGGACCCAACAGATGCCCATATGTGACTGCCCTCCTCTGCAGGCCGGTCTTAATTACTCAGAAGCTCCTTGCTGCTTTTCCCTTAGGTGTACCTTCAGTTGGTGTCCTGAATTATGCCTGCCTTTCCTTGGACACCAGGACATGCTCCTCCGCAAGAGCAAAGTCCAAGCACAGCCTGGAAAAACCATGGGCTGGGGGAATGGCTCTTCCCTTCCCAGCCCACAGCAAGCCCCTATCAAGATGCTGGCACCAAGAGCAGCGCTCTACAGCATTGAAAGCGGTGCCCTGGAGTCACACTGCCTTAGTTTTGCTTCCATGATTGGGCTCCATATACCTCATGGAGGAGTTGCAGGGGAAGCTCCTCTCTGTGTTGCAGAGCACACACTTGTCCCTCAGGACACCTCAGAGACTTGAGAAGTCTTAAAGGAAACACCCCTGGAAGATGCGGACGATGGGCATATGGATGGCAGCAGCTTCATCCGCCAGGGAGTTCACCCCACAGGATATGTGGTAACAAACATCATCCCAAAAGGCTGAAATCATCTCCTTAGTAAGAGCTTTTGAGCTGGCAAAAGGGAAAAGAATTAATATTTGGACAGATCAGAAGTATGCCTTTGGTGGGGTGCATGCACACGGTGCAATTTGAAAGGAGAGAGGACTCTTACCATCCTCAATTAAACATGCAGAAGAGATACTGAAGTTACTCCAAGCTGTATACCTGCCTATTCAAGTTGCCATTACGCACTATAAAGGACATCAAGCACGGGATACTGGTATTGGAAGAGGAAATAGATCGGCTGTCAGAGAAGCCAAGGAGGTGGCAGAACAGGCATCAGAGAGTCAAATTTTGGCACTAGTACCAGCACTTTACAGCATTGAAAGATGTGCCCTGGAGTTACACTGGCTTAGTTTTGCTGCTAGGATTGGGCTCCATATATGACGTGGAGGAGCTGCAAGGGAAAATCACCTCCCAACACCTGAAAACAGGTAAGTAAAACAAGAAGAAGGCAGAGGAGAGGATGGAGGAGGAATCTCACAGAACAGGTAACATGACAGCAGTCTCCTGGCAGGCATGGCCAAGATGCCACCGAGGAGCTGCTCTGACTAGCCTTCTCTTTTCCTCCTTACAGGGATGCCTCCTGCTATTAAGAGCCGGCTGCTCACGTGCCAGAGTCGCTCTCTATCCAGACTCTCCAAGATGAAAGGGGAGGCAAAGCTGGGCCAGGCTGCAGTGGAAAAAGAGCCTTCTCGCAGGTGAGTCTGGGGGGAACCTTAAAGAAGCAGCCCCTGGGCTCTTCCCCTTGAGTCATCGAGTGGCTTTCCTTTAACACAGGGACTTGGTGAACTCCACGGGGGTCCTGACACATACCCCACCAACTGCCCTTTCCTTGCTGGCCACACAGTTGGTGAGCAAAAGCTGTAGCAGCAAATCTTCCTCTTGTGTGCTTGCAGAATGCTGACAGCACGTCAGGAGAGCTCCTGAAGGATGGGAGAAGAGGGGAAGGGCAAGCGCTGTGCTGCGGCCTGGCCCCAAATTCAAGCCCCTGCCTGTGAGGGTCAACGGAGAAAAGGATAGGTAGCCACTGGATCTGTGTACCCATTACTGGGTTGTTTCAAGCATTGCCTTTGTGGAAATTTGATGTTTCTCTTATCATTCCACACTCCTCCTCCTTGTAGGAAGTATGATGCCTTTGTTAGCAGTGAAATGAAAGAATTCTGCAGGCATCGCTGGCTGAGGAGCAGCTCAGTTAAGAATGGGAGAAGGAAGAGGACTTCTGAGCACAACTCAAGGCTCTCAAGGAAAGAGTGGGAGAGTGAGGAAAATGTTATCATCCGTGATGGAGGAGGGCTCCTCCAAAGCCTACTGCTGTGAAAGTGTCTTCCCCTTAACTTTAAAGGCGAAGGCTGAGGCCTTTCATGCTACTTTTCTGAAAGAAAGAAGGCTGCAGGGAAACTGCCCTGAGCCTGGGAAAACCCTGAGGGGATGACTGCCCCACGGCCATGAGACAGCTCCCACATTAACACCTCCACATAAAAACATTCCTTCTTTCTTCTTCCCCTGTAGCAGAAGACGCAGGTGGAAATGCAGAGGCTTCAGACAGAGAGTGCATTCTCCATGGCACTTGTGGAACTGAAAAAGTCTCTGCAGATGGTGCCAGTGGACATGAAACAGCAGCATGTCCTCATCCCTCACCTGCCAGAGAAGAAGGCTGAGGCAGCTCCTCTGAGCAAACAAAGTGCCAAGTAAGTGTGGGCCAGCACCCAAAAAGGCCAGGAAAAGCTGAGCTGCAGCAGGCTGCTTGAAGGATCCAACATGTGGGTGGCTCAGCTCTGGGCTTTGCTTCTCCATCCAGCAGAACTGGGGACCTTCTGAGCCCACCTGTGAGTTTTTTTTCTCACTTGCTGCAGCTGCCTTTCAGTACGGACAGGGCGGGTGAGGAAACATCTGGAGAGCAGAAAGGCGGTCCTGCAGGAAGACAAGACCAAGAGTAGAGCTGTCAACATCCCTGGAGAGACTGCAGAGGATCTTCTGATCCGGTAAACCTCACCTGCAACAGCCTTCTTTCCACTAGCAACAGCTCCTTCCTTGGGATCACAAGTGCTGACATGTAGTCCCTTGGCTCACAAGAACCCTTTCCGTGGCCTTCCGTAGCTGCTTGGACCAAGGTCTCCATCCCGGACTCACACAGTGCCTCAGCCTGTCATTCCCTGTCACTGACACAAGGGGCCATGGGCTGTCCTTGGACATCAGCATTCCTCGGGACACCGTGCAGCGCTGCATTCAGGAGACCCTGCTCTTTCTCTCCTACACCCTTGCAAAGAAGCAGGCTGTTGATTTCGTCTTCAAGGACATTGGCCGTCTGGTCTTCCGCAAGAGCAGAGTCCAAATGAACTTTTCTTCCGACTTTGTTCACAACCTGAATAGCAACGGCCAGCTGTTGAAATGCCGCCTTACTGTAAGTTTCTCACTGACATATATCCCGCTGACGGCAGATTCCTTCCTGGGCACCCAGGAAGGAACCCCTTCCTGGGGAAGAGGAAGGAGGCCCTGCAGGAAGGCAGGACCAAGAGCAGAGCTGTGGACAGCCCCGGGAAGACTGTGGAGGAGCTCCCGCTCTGGTAGTCCTCTGCTGCAACAGCCTTCTTTCCACAGCCCCTTGTTCAGTGAGGCCTCTGGGCTCTCACTGGCACCCTTCTCCCTGAAGGGAGCAGGGAGTGTCACTCAGCTCTCCTCACTGGAGCGGAATCTTGAACCTTTCCAGAGAATCACAGAATGGCTTGGGTTGCAATTGATGTTAAAGATCTTCTATTCCCTCCCGCCCCCTGCCATGGGCAGGGATGCCATTCACTAGAGCAAGTAGCCCAGTGCCTCATCCAAACAGGTCTTGAAGACCTCCAGGGATGGGGCATCCACGGCTTCTCTGGGCAAGCTGTTCCAGTGCCTCACCACCCTCTGTGTGAAGAAATTTTGTGGCCACCAAGGAGCAGCTCTGACTAGCCTTCTCTTTTCCTCCTTACAGGGATGCCTCCTGCTATTAAGAGCCGGCGGCTCACACCCCAGAGTCGCTCTCCAGCCAGACTCTCCAGGGCGACAGGGGAGGCACAGCTGGGCCAGGCTGCTGGGGAAAAAGAGCCTTCTCCCAAATGAGGCTGGGGGAAAGCCATAGAAGGCAGCCCCAGAGCTCTTCCCCTTGAGTCATCGAGAAGCTTTCCTTGCACGCAGGGACTTGGTGAACTCCACAATGGGCCTGACACATGTCCCACTGACGGCAGGTTCCTGCCTGGGCACCCAGCAGGTGAGCAAAATCTCTCGCCGCAAATCCTCCTCTGTTGTGTTTGCAGGCAGCTGACAGTGTTTCAGGAGAGCTCCACAAGGATGGGAGAACAGGGCAAGGGCAAGTGCTCTGCTGCAGCCAGGCCCCAAACTCAAGCACCTGCCGGTGAGGGTCACCGGAGAGCAGGACAGGTAGCCACTGTGGTCCGCCTACCTGGGTTGTTAGAAGGGAAATGCTTCTGGAGATGTGACATTTTGACAATTATTGTGCCTTCTTCAGTGCCTTCTTCATGATTAAAGAGGAGCTCCCCATGGTGGGCTTTGAGCTCCTTGATGTAAAGAAGCCCATCTTCGATGTTTCAGAGACCTTTCCCAGTATTCACGGGCTCCCTTACAAGAAAGAAACTTTTCCAGATAAGAAGAGAGATGAATGTCAGGGCTCCAATGTGCAAGGATGTGGGCTGCATGCTCAGCTGCTGCTGGGAAGGCAGTGGAGGGGTTCCACAGCTCCTCCAGGAGGTCCGGAGAAAGGCCTGAGCTCCTCAGAAGCCAAAACCTGCCAATGCTTTGCACCTTCTGGCTGGCAGCA